TAAATGCATAGATTTTTCTGCAGCCCAACAAATTGGGTCAACAGAGGCGTTATACTCCATGAATAAAGAATTTCCATTTACCACACTCTTTTCCTCTTACAGTATGCAACCTTTTTGATTCTACTGCTGGTGGCTGGAATCGTTGCCGGAGGTCTGGCTGCCTTCTACAAGGAAAAAGTTAGGGCCGAGAGCAAAAACTTCTTGCAGACGACCATAACCAGCTACACGCTGGGCGAGAATGTGGACGCCAGTTCTCTGATGTGGAACCAGCTGATGAGCAACTTTGGCTGCTGCGGCGTCACCGACTACCACGACTTTGATGCCTCGCAGGCGTGGCAGAACAGCAAGGGAAATCGCACCATACCAGAGGCCTGCTGTGTCCTCAAGGATGTGGCCGATTTAGTGCCGCGCGACGAGGACTGTGTAACCAATCCCAGCGACAGCAACAGTTTCTACAAAAAGGTAAGCACTTTCAAGAGATAGTGTATCAAAGATCTAATGAGTATTTCTCTACCCTGCAGGGCTGCTATGAGGTGTTCACCGATTGGTTGATTGGACAACGCGAGTTAATCATCATCGTGATTGGTGTGGGCATCGTGCATCTGGTCCTGATCATCCTCGCCTTCTCCCTCTGCAAGGCCTTCGCCAAGTACAACGACATGCGTCTGTAAGTCGATCGTGGTCAGATGATGTGAGAGTTTTCAGCAGCCAAGAAGAAACGTAGCTAATTCAGGCAAGCTAAATAACCGTAGGAACCAGAGAAAAGAGCCAAAACAACACCCAGACAGTGAAGAGCGATCCCTAACAACACCAACCAACACCCTACCGAACAGCGAACACCACAACGTGCTCAAGAGGAAACCACAAACCACAAAAGATTCTGCATTTGCCGCATATGGAACGGGACAAACACACGAAAACAGAAGACATAATACGCAGATTATTTCAGCTCTACTCTAATGTTAAGCTAAGATCGTAACCAGCATAATCCATTTACAGATACTATTCAAGAATATCTTAGAGAAATGTTGCTCAAAGTTTAGCCACCCGACGGACAGACAGCGTGACGGGAGGACAGCAGGAGAAGAGCCGCAGGTTTTACAATACGCAAGACACTTACATGGAATATTTATTTGTAAATCTGTTTTGATAGCAGCCTTAGTTCTTAAGTAGTTGTCTACAATATACAATATACATATACATATATTGTAATGTAACTGATTTGTCGTAGTCTTTTAACATTTTGTTATGTTATCGAAAACCACTCAAAAACATCACAGGTTCGTACCGTACCACACACAAATTTTTGAGATCGAACGAAGTACGATAAGGAATCAATTTTTAAATGTAATTTTTAACGGGGCTAACCGAACAGTAGTTTGTTTTGAGAGGAGCCACCCGCGAGAGCATAAAATACTTGCATATAAAAAATATTGATTGACATTGTATTAGTATGTGTATTAGTTGTTAAGTCTCTAACATTAAGTTGTAATTTTAGTTGTTTTTGCTATGGCTATCTTCGAGTTTTTAACTATACCAGCGGGAACACGGCGACGTCGTACTCCCCCGGGCCCCTTTTGTTAAAAATGAATGTTGTACATTTCTGAATTCTATATATATACATATACTATACTATATCTATTATTAATGCATATTATACACACGTATGTCTGTAGTTTACTTAATGTACTTTTTGGAAACCAGCGCAATGAAAACCAGAAAAAGGAAAACGTAACATCAACCAATGATAAATCCCCCATAAAAACACAAGAAAACAAAAAAAAACACAACTAAAATGTACATTTCTGAACGTGAAAATATAATTCGAAATAAATAAAGAAATTTAAAATGTAGAAGTTTCTTTACACCAAGTGGCGCCCCCGAGATCATGACGGCCATTTCTGGAACTAACAACGTTGCACAGTTCTGGAACCAAATTGTTATATTGTGCTGCCATCAGGATTATCCTTTAGAATCTACACCCAGTAGCCGATTTCCCATCTGAGAGTGAGACCAAGTCGGCGAGGGCTCTGGTTAAAACTAGCATACATTAGCTTCTTTTGTAAAAATATGTTAGGAGCCAAGTGTTTGCATGGAAATAAAAAATGTAGCATACTTTCGCGGTGCTCAGATCTTGTTTAGGTACAAAACTTGAAGTATCGTTTGGGGGCGGGTTTTATTTTTATGCGTAGCAGCCAGTTTTTGACACAGTGAAAAAGCATAGAAACCAGTTACCTTCTGCTGACTTCTGTTCGCCTGGTACTTGGTCTGGAAATTTTCCAGTTTTCGGCCATTTCAGCGAGGCAATTTCAAAAGTTCACAGTGGCGTAGTCTCGAACTACGATATTTTAGTTCCCAAAGTGGCCGTGATGTTTGCGGGGGCGGCACTGTGCAACGAGGTGGTTGTTGTACAACAATCACTTTCTTGTTCTACAACAATAGCAAAAACAACTTTTATTGTACAACAACAACAACATTAATTGACAACAACATCAGCACATTTTTGTTTTCTTGTTTTCTCCTTAGTGTGGGGGCCGATCAGGACGAGAAATGCCTCCTTGTGATCACGTGAATGTCCTGTATCGTTTTCAATCCTTTCGGATGGAAGGACCCTAAGGACAATGCCATTTTAAGGATGTTTTAAATACAAACCCTACAATGCCATAGCTTGGCTATATCCTGTCGGATCAGGACAAGCTATACCTAATCGTGATCGGGACAATGTCCTGGACCCCTTGCAAGCACTTCGGATGCAAGGGTATTAAGGATAATGCCTTTTTAAGGATGTTTTTACTAGAATCCATACAACGCTATTACTCGGCTGTTTCCTGTCGGATCAGGGCATGCCCCACCTCCTGTTGGGCAGACAAGTCTCCTGCATCGTTTGAATCCATCAAGGACCTCAAGGACGGCAGGATATCGCTGTTTTTACGCGTTTTTATAAAAGGGTACCTTTCGGCTTGAAAGTATGCTATACTTTTTAGCACAAAAGGGGCCCCGAAAAGATACTACACATATTATAAACTAATACAAGCCGGGTGAAAGTATGCTACACTTTTATTTGTGAAAACCCAATCCCGCCCCAATCCGATTCGGTTACCACTCTCAGATTGGAAATGGTCCACTTCAAGGAAGTAGGATTCGCTCCTGTATGGTTATGTTTGCCGGGTGCTGCGACCCCCCAGCCTTGGTTGTAATCACAGCGCATTCACGCTCCAGCTGGATCACCACATAGTTGAGCCCAATGTTGGGGACGATACCTATACAACATCGACCATTTGTGTATTGCAAAAGCTGCAAGATCCTCATCCTTCAGCGCCATGATGAAAGCGATTTTATTTTCTGAAAAATATAAAACGAGAATATTTTAAAAGAGAAATGTTGGCAGAGTCAACCTTACACCTTACCATCTCATTGCACCTCTTTTCATCTACACTAAATTGAGGCAAATATCGCAAACTCGAATCCTTGCTCTTTTCCTGGCATCTGGACCAAATGGCATCCTGTCGAGCACTAAACAAGTTCAATATCTGCATCGTCTCGCTCCGTCTGCGAGCTGGTAATACTTTCAGATTATCGATGGGATGCAGTTCCTCATCAGGTGGTACAGTATAGCTTTAGGGCCCGGGACTTGCGCGCATTCGCCTTGAAATAGGATCCATATCGCACCCTGCAGCAGCAGGATCTTTGCGGGTGCCGTGTGGCCGCTGGAGCTATCTTTCTATCCGCGCCAAGGCCAGTAGAGGATCAAAATATGTATATCTCTTGTCCAAATGGGCCAATAACAAGAATCGTTCATCTGTCACTGACCCCATGGTTCATGAGACGCTTATATTTTTCCGACTGGTCCTCTTTTGAGTGTCATCCAGCTTTGCCTCCAGTTGGCAGACATCACCTATTTTATCACATTCCCCAGGCATGTATCAAACGAATTGTGCTGCTTAATATCTGATCCGTATAGACTGATGCTCGGGCTCCAAATGCAGCCGAGACAGAGTGTCAAACTACTATTGAAAAGCTGAGAATTGAATTTGGGAGAGACGATATTTGTTAGCTATCAAAGCGGATTGGCGTCGGGAGAGTGATTCGAAACTTACTTGAGTTCCGCTCATGAGCGAGGTGGCCTCCTGGTGCTAAGCTAAACTCGCAGAATGTTTTGAGTTCGCATGTGCTCAAAAACGGCTCCGAGTTGGCACCGCAGATGACATCCCTTTGCAGATCCCCCAAGATCCACCGGATGTCTTTTCTGGTTTTCTGCGTCGGCCACCGATCCACGTTCCATTCAAATTGTCCACCAGGTAGTAGACGTGGGATCTGGATGTCCTACTTTGCCTTGCCGCACAAGAATATAGTTCTAAAAACTAAAGAAATTTATTAAACTTGGCAAATGATCATCCAAACGATAGAACAGGCCGCAAGGACACAAAATGTAGCACACTGCCTGTTTGGTACCTACCGCTTTTTACTTATACTGCAATTGACATGATGCGGTATCAGCGATGACTATTTATCGTTTTATTTATGTTCTTTATGGATAATTATCCTTTTTGTATTGGTTTTTACAGTAAATTGGAAATTTTGTGTTCTTATTGCAGTGTGGCCGCAGTTCTATCGAGAAAATATACCGTCTGACCCCTAGAAGTATTAAGAAAAATACCCTAGCATTTTAAAAATATACCGAGGAAAATAATTTTACTTGATTTTGATATTCTGTTCTATTTTACCAGCAAGCTTAGTCTCTCCACACTTCACATATAATTTCATGAGATAGAAGAATCAATTTTCTTGAAGATTGGATAGTGCTAACGACTTGCTTTGGTTTTTGTAATTGCCGTTTTAATCAAATTCTGAAATATGCAGCAGCTATGTTGTGTTGGTAACCAGTGCTTCAAAACGATTAATAGAAATATCGATAGGAAACGGGTATATCGAGTATTACTGATGGCTGAGAACAGCTCGCCGCCATAAAACAGAAGCATCGCTGCTGCCACACTAAAAATGTATGTAAACAATCACAACCAAGTGAAATTCGCCTTAATTAGTTTCCCAACAATTAAATAATATATTAAGTGAAAGCAAAACTATTACTTTAGTTTAATTGCCCGCCGGGGAGCACAAACATGGATGGACGAAAACTGCTGCAACCTGTGAGGGCAACAAATCCTATTGTCTTCATGGACATTGATATTGGCCAGGAGGATGGTGAGTTGAGTTGATCTCCAAGACATCTCCATGCCAACCTCATTTTTCCATATGTCACAGCGGGACGCATGGTAATTGAGCTGCGCAAGGATGTTGTGCCAAAGACAGCGGAAAATTTCCGGGCCCTGTGTACGGGAGAGTGCGGAATAGGGCAGCTCGGACAGCCGCTGCACTACAAGGGCAACCGTTTTCACAGAATCAAGCGGGTGTTCGCTGCGCAGAGTGGGGATGTGGTTAAGAACGATGGCACCAGCGGCGAGAGTATTTATGGGCCTGTATTCGAGGACGAAAACTTTCAGCTCACGGTGGGAAAACATTGCATTTAGAGAACGTTTTAAGCACACTAATGATTTAACGTTGAATCCCTCTCCGCAGCACAACGAGGAAGGGGTGGTGAGCATGGCCAACTATGGCACCCCAAACACCAACAACTCACAGTTCTTCGTAACGGCCGTGGGTTGCGAAAATCTAAACGGAATCAATGTGGTTGTAGGCCGCGTGCTGCGCGGTCTGGGTGTCGTAGCCGAAATGGAACTGAACTGCAACGACGAGGGAGATCCCACGGCGGAGATTGTGATAAGGAACTGCGGTGAACTGGCGCAAGGCGAGGACTGGGGCATCGAGTGCAGCGACGAGACTCCAGACAAGCTCCCGCCCTACCCAATGGACTGGACGGGCAAGTCCGATAAGTACACAGTGAGTAAAGCAAATTAGAATGATTATCAGATTCATCACATCTCTTGCAGTCCGACGAAGCAGTGGATCTGCTGACGGGCGTTCGCCAATCGGGCAATCACTTCTATCAGTTGGGTCGTTATCACGAAGCTCGTGCCAAATACCGCAAGGCAAATCGCTACTACCATTACCTGAGCAACCAGTTCGGCTGGCAGCCACTGAGAAACGTTAAAAAGACCTCCAACGATGCGAGTATGAGAAAACTTGAAGCTTTTTTTACGGTCAACAGCATCAACTCGGCCGCTGTCGATCTTAAGTTGGGAAACTACGCAAGTGCCAAATACGACTGCTCCGAGGCCATTAGACTGGATCCTAGATGCAGCAAAGCCTTCTACAGGCGGGGCCAGGCACATCGCGCCCTGCGCAACTACGAGGAGGCCATCAACGATCTGAAGAGTGCCCACGCTCTCCTGCCGGACAACAAGCAAATCCTAAATGAACTGAACGGCACCAAGCAGCTCCTGGCTGAGTACAACCGACAACAGCGTAACGCGCTCAAAAATCTATTTGCATAGTTTCGGGAATTAGTTGTGTTAAATGTAAATACTTACTTATTAATAAATGTTTTTGAGTTATGAGCAACAGCAGTCAGTGGATGACTTCCACAAAAACAAAGATCAAATCTCACGTTCTTCTTTCGGGAGAGTAAATGATGGATTGCGCTCTGTAATTGATAAATATTTAGATAGTACCTAAAACACATTTGATCGCACACAATTAATAATGATCGCTTACCTACATTGTAGTGTCTACAATGTTTCTTACGGGCTAACCGATTACATATGTATAAAAGTAGCTTAGATTTGCTATAAACTTAGCCTACGTATAGTCGTATTTAAAGATTTGTCACAATGTCCTGTTCGCTGCGATGCAGATTGCCGGAGGCGCTGCTTGCCGAGTAGCTCTTCATGCTGATCTCCATGTTGGTCAGAGCGCTGGATACATGATACAAGTTCTCCGAGAGTATAGCATATACCTCAAACAGTTCCGAATCCGATTTAGATACGATAAAGGCTTCTGCTGAAGAAGAGAGAGCAAGGTAGTGTGGTTCATGGAATCGGTTTTCTTGATTTCTAAGCATACCCGTTCGGTCCTTCATGATGCCATGCGCATATGCATTCAATATTACCGACATCTCATCGCATTTCATTCGACTGTCCAGGTTACTATAGCTACACAGGGTCAGGTTTTGATCTCCGGCAGCGACCAGCGTCGACACCCGCCGATACTGACGCACATGAGCAATGGCGCTGGGCCAGCGTTGCAGATCGATGTGCTCGTGCAGAGCTGTCTCAAATTCCTCCTGAGTCATGGGCAAGCCCGGCGACGGAGTCGGCGTGTGCTCACCCTCCGTGGAAGTTGAAGATTCCAGGCAATCCAGTTCGGCTTCGCTGGTGTATCGCACCAAAGCATCGCGAACCAGAGCATAGAGATCGGATATGTCATGCATCTGCAATTGGAGTGATTTTATGTTAGAAAGATCCTCGCTTTAACTCTTCGTTCACTCACGTCTTCGTTGATGCGGAAATGATTAACCACATTCGAGGATATCTTGTGATTCGATTCAATAAGCAGCAGCAGTTGGAACATTAGCTTGTACAAAGAGCGTCCCAGGTCTAAAACCACCTCGGTGGAGGCTGGGTCAAATGGCATGTACGCAATGCTGGAACAGCTGGGCAGCTCCAAGCCAGATGCAGCCACATCGGATTCGTTGAAGAGCGACAGCTTGCAACTGGTCTTCACAGCATCGAGACACTGGAATATACAAATATAATTATTATAATGTCTATATTGGCAAAGGTATGATTATTTCACCTCCAAGACCTGGTCCTTGCGGTCAAAGAAAGTCTCCAAATGCTCTTGCACTTCCAGCACATTGAAGCGCAGCGTCTCAAACAGCTTGGGAGTAGTCGCTTGCAACTCGCTGCACCACACCTGTGGCGGATCAGCCCGAGAGCTCAGCAGGTCGGTGAATAGAGAGATCCGATTGCCCAGCTGTGAGCCAATGCCAGTGAAGAACTTCTTTGCCTCCTTAGAAATGCTAATCGTCTTGAAAGTTATCTCCTTGACCAGCCTGTAGAGCTGCTGCAGCAGCTCCGATGTGTGAGCCGAGGGCTGGTTCACCAGCATGGCCTGCAACTGCCGCCGCCAGTTCTCCTCCGCCTCATCCCGAATGGCGGCACCGAATCTTATGATGCCCGGCAAATGCGGCGAGGCGTTGCATGGCGTTATATCGCCCAGGTCGCCAGCACTGGAACCGCTGGTGTCACTCCGCGAGACAGAGTTGCGACGCCGCCTCTCACGCAGACTGAGGGATGTGGGCGGCACAGCACTGTAGCCAGACTTTAGGAACGACTGGCGATGATCCTCATCCAGGGGGGACTCGGATTCGGCCTCTTCATCGGAGGAATCGTCCGCAGTCTGTCGTTTGCGCTTGCTCAGTATCGGCGTCTTGTCACTGAAGCTGTCCTCCAGAGCGGAAGAATGTCCTCCCTTGATGGAACCGCCGATGCCACTGCCGCAATTCAGACGGTCCTCATCGCCCTCGAACAACTGATGACGACGCACGCCCCAGTTGAAGTTGTCCGTGGACTCGCCGGCAATGCTGTCCTCGTACTCGAGGAAGTCAAAGTCCTTGAAGACGGTAAAGTCGGGCTGGCCATCGTCGCGACGCGAGCCGCTGCTCAGATCGCCCTGCGGACCCGAGGTCTCTTCGGTGGAAGAGGCGGCCGATGACTGCCGCTCCATCAGATCCGAAGACTGGCTGAAGATAACCTGTGGTGGGGCGAGTGGTGGGCAGATATTAGTAAGACTCTGAGCAATACGAGAGGGATAAACATTCAGGGATTATATAGTATAATAGAGTTGAATAGTAGAGATAAGATAAAGCTTACGCTTTGTCTGGTCGCAATCGATCCGGTTAGTAGTGACGTGCTAAACGACTAAATGTGTTCCCAGATAAACGACAAACAGTGTAAACGAAACGAAACGAAAGGTACAGTTTCAAACAAAACACATGCACAACATGGAAATGAAAATGGTAATGGGATAACATAACGGGTCAAGCGAATGGCGGTTCGTGTTGGAATGTATGGGAATGAAACACAGGCAGAAACAGAAACGAATTGAATTGCTTGGGAAAAAAGCTACTACATGCGATCTTATCGTAAATATATGATACACAGAAAAAGCAAAAAAGAAGACAAGTCGCGGCACAGAGAAACGTGTCCTTTACCTTTGAGCAAATTGAGTTTATGAAATCATCCTAGGATTGAGTACGAGTATGTTTCGATTTGGTATCGATTTGGGTTGATTTGTTAATGATGATAATGGCGTGTTAATTGTTTTTTGGTTTTTGGATTTTGATTTTTTTGTTTTTGTTTTTGTTTTACATGAAAGAAAAAGAGTTAGAAATAAATAATCGCATATGCATGAAGACCACATCAGAGAGTAGAGTAGAGAAGGGTGGATTAGGATAGCTCTAGGGGAGCCTAAGGCATGCACCTGGCTATGTACAAGCAGCAACCGAATGCTGAAGCAGCTCCAGCTCCCGCTCCCGTCAAAGCAATCACTTACCGATGGCGACTTGGGCAGGCCGACACGCTGGCCACAGGTGGTCAGCAAATTGACCAGACACTCACGCACGCGACACTGCGACATCCAGGGCCGCTTCCATCCACTCAAGGGCACGGTATCCGCCGGCGACAAGCTTGCACTGCGCCGTGGCGAGTTCGGTGTGCCCACCAGGCTGCTTCCGGCTCCGATCGCATGCTGTTGCTGATGCTGGGCAGCAGCCGCTGCGGCAATGGCCGCCACATTCGATTGGGCGCGTTGCTGTTGCAGCTGTGCATTGGCCTGCTGCTGGGCACTGGGCGCCACAGACACCGTTGTTGCATTGGTCAGGGTGGAATTCAGCGAAGAGCTGCCCGTGGTGGATGCAGCTCCGGCCGGGACTGACTCTTCGTTCTTGAGCAGGATGCGGCGGCCGATGAGCGGTGTTTGTGAGACGTCAAAGGTGAACTCCATGGTGCGACCGGCCAGTTCCTTTTTACAGAACATATCCGAGTCCGGATATGCGCCGTAGAAGGAGAACGATAACCCGGCGCTGCTGCCATCGCTGGGCGGCACCACCTGCAGCGAGGAGCTGCGCGTCACAATCAGTTTGAGGATCTTCAGCGAGTCCTTCCAGTTCACCGTCTGCCATAAAACATGCAAAAATAACATTACTTCTCAGCTCATGGGAGAATACTTTTCCAAGGTCCAACTTACATCCAGGTATTTTCCAACGGCACGCAACAGATCTGCATTGATGGTCTGGGCTTGCGGTGCCGACAGATCGACGTAGTGCAGCATGCAGTGGATGACATTCAAAACGGGCACCTGCACCTGCTGCGGCCCCTTCTCCAGCACCTCGATGAGGAAGGCCACCATGTGGAGACCCATGTGGGCGTACGTGTCATGCAGATACTTGACCACACACTTTGTCCACTGGAAGGACTCCTTGCAGAAGGTCTTGCGGCTGTACAGCAACATCACAGTGCCCAGATTCTCGAGCTTGGCGCCTAATTCCGTGGATACCTGAGCAATGTTCTCGGCACTGCGTATGCAGATCTCGTTGGCATCCTCGTAGTGCAACAGCATGTACGGCAGCAGCGCAATCACGTTCATGGGGAAGGCACAACTCTGTGTCGGATCGCAAACGGGCAGCGTGAGCAGCGGTGCAAACTGGGATAGAAGCGTGATGGTCGGCTCGTAGGTGGCACTGTGAGTGCAGCCCTAGAACAGAAATCGATAAATACTTTCTGGTTCAACCGTTTTCCCCTTCTAAGAACGCACCTTCAGGAGCAGCGCATGCACACCCGGATAGGCTGTCCATTTCAGCTGCTGCTGCAGCTTTTCCACCTTGTCCCTTGCATCTGGTCGATCCAGCGGCAGGCGGTGCAGCACTCTGGTCAGCAGGCGCAGAGCCAGCATGAACTCATGCTCGTAGTCCGACTCCAACAGCGACACCGATAGCCAGAAGAGCTGTGCCAAGATCGTCATCTTGTCATCCTGCGTGGCTGTGTCGCCTAGCATCTTCAGACTTTGCGCGCTACGGGATCGCGACAGGGCAGAGCCAGCGCCCATGCCCACTCCGCCGACACCAAACTTGCTGACAACGCTGCGCTCGAGATCAATGCCAGAGGAGCGGTTCCTCAGCTCCACCTGCTTATCGCAGGGCGAGTTGTTGGCCTTGCGGCCACAGTAGGAGACCGAGTAGCTGGTACTGCGTCCATGGCTGGGTATCGAGTAGTTGGATGACTGAGGCGTCATGCCTGAGGGCGACTTCTTGCCGGGCAGAATGGAGTTGGGGCCGCCGTCTTTGTTGTTCAGATTGGGTGTGCTCTTGAAAATGTCCTTCATTACATCCAGCGGCCGGAAGTCCGAGTCGAGGCTGTCCACGGCCGCTTCCAGAGTGAGCAAAAGCTCCGTCACATAGCCCTGCATGTCCTCGCCCTGCTCGGCCACCGTCTCCACTAGCCTGGACAGGATATCCGACAGCATGCGAGAGTTGATGGGCACATTCAGGGCCCGGAAGATCTGCAGACAACGTCCGGCATAGTG